TATTTTTAAAAAAAGTACCTACTTTGTTTTAAGGTTTATTATTTTTAGTTATACCTACTTATAACTAGGTATAAATATTTTTTTGTGTGAAAGCACTATATACCTACTTAAAATACGTGCGTCAAAAACATAATATAGGTACAATAATATCAATAAAAAAAAAAACGGTAAGTCACTCTGGTGTATAATCAGTATAACATTGTGTCGAAACGTCGAGTGCACCTAGGTCATTGAGTATAGGTAGGTGACTGTAATGGCTGTGTTAAGTATAAAATTCAAATGAAAGTTCATTGCATACAAAAAACGATTCTGAGCGGAGACGGTGGTGTCAAATTACTCCTACTATTGGGATACCTATACTTAGATTTTTTTTATTACTTATATGATATTTTGAACTAATTTCTGCTTAAAATACCGCATATTACAATATTATATCATATTTTACTTATAAGACAATGCATCATTCAACGATGTAAATACCAATCATCGTGGTATAAATAGCCTAAAATTAGTCTAAATATTTTGAAGCTTTACGCTTTACCTCAATTTTTGATTCCGGTTATAAAAGCGTTTGAGAAATCTTGTGATGGTATATATGTATATAATTATTACATTTAAAATTTAATGAATTTTCAACTACATAAAAATATTTGAAAATTGTCATGATTTTAGTGAATTTTGAGACTAGGAATATTCTACATTTTGCTGCATAAAAGACTTCAAAGTTCAAACCCAAAAAAGCACACACACATCAATACATCATTGTACCTAAAACCAATACATTTACCTATCGTTCCGTTCAAAATCTAAAAGAAGAAAATACTGAAATAGCGGTTTTAGACTTCAAATATTTTACCGAGCGATAAAATCGAACCAGTTAATTGAATTGCCTACTAACGGATAGTCTTAGATAAAACAAAAAACAATTTTGTGCAAAAAAATGTAGGTAAATTATTATAATAATGAAAATGTGCTATGAATTCCGATCATCCCGTCCCACTCTTAACGTTTTCGTTTAGTAAAGATTGATTGGAAACCATCAATGTGTGAACATTTTTTTTCTGAAGATTGAAAAAGTTGTGAATGCACAATGTACTAAATAGTGATTTGGATTTCGGGACGGATAAAACTTCGAGGCCGCCGCTGTTTTGAAATGTAATTAAGACATTATGACACACAAACTTTTCGTAAAAAAATAAAAATAAATAATAATAATAATAGGTACACAAAATGAAAATATTATGATCCGTAATAAATTATTAACAAAGTTTGGTACTTTGAATTTATAATTTCTTCGTAAACATTTTAGATTTACTACTCAAAACATGATCGGGAGATTTATCAGGCAACTTTTTATAAGTTGAAAACAAAAATTTAATTCCATTATAATACTATTTAAAGCTTATTATTTTGCGTTTTATGTAGTTCACAGAAATTCGGTAACTTGTTAGGTGGGTATATGTTCATCAAACAGTTGTTTTAACAAATTTTAAACTGCTGCAAAAGTTTAAGTGTTATACATCCAATATACTCATGTATAATACAAAGTATTTTAAATATAACACGTCTCGTCAAGTAGACAATTTTGTTGAAATTTTAAATACGTTTAGACCTTATTTGTGTAATTTAATAACCGTGGTAATGGCACTGTAACATTTTTCATAATTCAAGCCTCCATGTTGTCAAAAAACTTTGTGCATAGGCTTAGCCCCCCTCCCCTAGAATTTAAGCCATTGAAATTTTACAAATATGTTAGTAATAAATAATAATGTTGTCACTATGTTTTATATATTTATATATTTTATTGTCATCCGTAGAATAAAATTTAGTATTGATAGAAATTATTGTTTATTCGTGCCCAAATGTTTTGATTTATACACTGTAATTTTAGATTTTGAGCGGAGCGATGAATGTATTGATTTTACAATGATATGTGTGTGTGTGTTTTTTTTTTGTGTGTCGTCATCACCGTTTGGGGCTGTAACACTGCTTCTGTTTTCTTCAACAGTATCTTATTCGATGAGAAAGCCAATCTAGTTTGACAAAATTCTCAATAGTTATCAAAAGCGCCGGGAAAACAAAATCAAAATTAAGGAAAACGGTAATTTTTACGCAAAATCTGTTTTCGACAAAATCGATTTTAGTTTTTGGTGTAATTCTAAATAAATTGCTGTAGATACATGACATTTTTACTGGTTGTTTATATTAGCATTTTCTGTACAAGATAAAATTTTCAAAATATTTCGATTTGTTTCGACTATTTATGGACATTTTCAGTTTACAATTTTTTAGTTTTTTTTTTTTTTTTCTATGAAAGTCAGTAAAATTGTATTTGTTAGCTAAAAAAGCTTGAAAATGTGATACAAGGTTCATAATATATTTTTAAAATATCCTTTGAAAAGTATTAAAAATACATATAGTCAACATTTTTTTTAATAACCATTAATTAAAGTTTGTATTTATAAAAAACTGATCAAATTTAAAATTAAAAAATAATTTTATAGTTAAAAATGTATAAAATGTTCAAATTGTATAGCTAAGGATTGACAATTTACAACGATATTATATCATTGAATTCAAATTTAACGCCATCTATTACAGTGACCTACTGTACAGCAGAGCGACACCCATTTGTCCACCTTTTTAATTTTTAACTTGATAATGGGTAATATTATTTCCTTAAGGTTAAATTGTACAATACCAATAAAATAAATTGATAAGTCAATGCGCTGTGAAACGGTGTAAAAAGATTCGTGTATACCTTATTACATTAATTAAAACTAGTGAAAATGATTTAATTGTGAACATGATTATTTTATATGCCTATACCGGCTATACCCAATATAATATGAACATAATAATATCCATAATGTCAAAAGTCCCTACAATTAGAACATCTAAAAACCTCAATAACTGTTTCAGGAGACATAATTTTATATTTGAATATCCAATGTTGCCAAATTTAAATTACAAATTGTCATAACAGTTATTGTGGCTTTACGCTGAACTTTTTATTAATTCCAGTAAGAAAAATCTAATGATAACTTTGTATTACTTTAGAAAATTCGTAAAATTACAATAGTTGTTATTTTACAATTTAGTGATGATCAATTGGTTTTGGTCTTGTGGTCTCGCAAGACTCTTGCTGCAAGACCAAGACCAAGACCAAGGCCAAGATTATAGTTGCAAGAACAAGACCAAACCAATACCGAAGCTGCAAGACCAAGGCCAAAACAAGACCATCACTGCAAGACTATTTTTTTCCCCGAAAACCCATTAATGGATCTAGATTCCATTAACTAATAATTTATAACGAAAATAATAAGAATTTATTTGTATTTTTATGACATTTTATCAGTAGTCGAGAAAATGATGAATTATTAAAAAAATTATAAAAACATAATGGGAATTAATATTACAAAATAACATAGTTTTTTTATACTAGTTAACAATTACTGAAAAATTATTTTGTTTTCCCAAAATCGATAAGTTTCATCTTAGAGATCATAGAAAAAAACCTACACACAGCTATAACAGGTATTTGGTTTTTTTAAAATATATTTTGTGAAAATAGCAAGAGTCTTGCAAGAGTCTTGAGCAAGACCAAGACCAATATTAAGGTGTATACTGTATACCCAAGACCAAGACCAAGACCAAGACCGAGTCTCCAAGACTAAGATCAAGATTTTGAAAGTCTTGGTCTTGGTCTTGTTATCATCATCACTATTTTACATTGATAAAACTACATCGTATCACTATTTTGTATATAAAAGGTACACATTTTTACAGAAAAAAATGTTTTGTTTAATAACTTACCTACAATATCATTGTAAAACCAACGCAATCATCAGTAGGTACTCTAAAAATCTAAAAAAATTGAATTAAAACCAAATCAATATACTTCTTAACTGCTTTTAGTTTTAATAATTTTATACATTTTTAAGCGTTAAAATTCAATTCAAGTTCAAAAGTATAAAATCACCTTTAATAGCTGGTTCATATAAAGCCATATATAGTGCTGGTATAAAAGTATTGGCGTCGATTAATAATTTTATGTTGTATGGCTGTTTCTAAAAAATTTTTTTACGGTGGTTCCATAATATAATAAATTGTTATTTATTGGGTGTCGTTTCAATAGTATAAAAGTTAACTTGGTTAGCTACGCAGTGAAATTATCAATAGCGAATAGGTACCTATACTACCTAGGTACAATATAATGATAGTACCTTTAATAATGTATGCAATGGTGGGCAAGTTAATGAAAATAATTAACTGTGGAAAGTTAAGTTAATTCATTTAAATTGCCTTCAGTTAAGTTAAAAGTTAACAAGGAAAAAAAATTAACTAGATAAGTTTAAAGTTAAGAGAGAAAATAAAATTAACTTATCTCAGTTAAAAAAAGTTAATTTTTTTGAAGGTACAATATTTTTAAGTCATATACTACCATAGTATTTTGTTATACAAAAACATTTACCAAGATATTTAACACTGTGTAAAAAATTAAATTTTTATAATACATAATTCGAAAATAAATTACTAAAATCGTAAAAAAGTCGACCAATCGGTATTGCCTAGTTGATTACGCATGACTCAAAAATTAAATTATCTTAACTAAATGACAATGTTAATTAACTATAAAAAGTTAAGTTACAACAATAAACATTTTAACTGAATAAGTTAATAAGTTAAAAACAAAAATAATTAACTAGTTAAGTTAAAAAGTTAAAAAAAATTAACTTTTTAACTTAACTTTAACTTTTTAACAAGTTAATGCCCACCTTTGAATGTATGTACTTATGTGTTATTGCAAATACAAGATCACTTTTATTCTTAACTAGGTACTTGCAACCCACATATTATAATACGAAGAATATTACATTTAGTTTAGAAAATTGTTGTGAACAACATCAAAGAAAAATTGTACCGGTATAATGTCGGAACTTAATAAATAATAATATATCGCGATATACATTTTTAATTATTTATTGGTTCTGTTACAGGAAAGGATTTCAAAAGAACTTAGAGTTAGCATGAACGAATGGAGAGAAATTATAGTATTGTTAAACGCAATAATGTCGTGGCAAAAAAATTGGTTTCCCGCGATTACGGTTATATGTGTAACGAGTATATACCTGTAAGTATACCTATTATAATATATATTTATACACATTACACATCCTACCCATACTCATTCGTGTGCACAATATTCGTGTAAGTACCAGCTATTAGGTAACTTTTCAAAAAAAAAAAAATCGCTTCTGCTTTTCCCATAAATAATTATGTATTATGTATGTTCTTTGAAACACAAACAGTTAACACGGCGTATAATAAATGATAAATAATTGTTGAGTGTTATGGAGGTAGACACGGACGAGATACCGCACGATGTAAATACTGCTATTTATCCATATTTAGGTACCCATAAGTTAGATCTATAGTTTAGAAGTGAGATCTAAAATCATATAATATCACCTACGTGTAATCACGAGTGTGATTTGACTTGGCTGTTTAACATCACACGAATGACCGGTACAATCTTTCTGATCGGGGGCAGGTATATCCATTTCCGCTGATTTCTTTTGATGTATAATACCATAATACGCATCTATCATGCAAAAATAATAAAATAATTTATACTTAGGTACTCAAAGTCTTACCGAATTACTGCACCGATGTTGTATGTTACAGCTAAACTTTGATACACGGCGGAGAGACATTATTAATATTCTGAAAGCTCATAATATATATTTCTCGTGACATGATTATAACGTTGTATTAATGTCCATTTATCTTACCCGGAACGTGGACGGATTTTAAATAATAAATTATGTCCAGGGATTGCTGTATTATGTATAAATTCACTCGATCAGTTATTATACACATTAACATTTATAAACATTATTATTTTAACCCAATAGAAAATGTAAGTTTCTGTAGACCGTCAACACTCTCAGATGACTTTATACGCAACAATTTAATATAGTAACGTAACTGAACAGAATAAAATAATTGTAAAATGTACGAAGTCGGTTCACTATGAAAAATTAAGATTGTAAACACTTTTGATTTTCGAGAGACGAATATAATGTTTCAATTATATTTTCTTCTCGAGTATTATACATTTTGATAAATATTTTTAAATTATTTTTACCCAAAAGTTAATAAGTTAAAGTTTTGATTGACTTAGTATATTATTATGTTTTATGTATGAAATCAATTACTTTTGACTTGTTATTGTGTGCATAGAATATTTCATCAGGACGACAGTACGTCAGTACCTATTATAGTCTGCTTAAAATCAATAACCAATTATTACCTACTCACTGGGACACAAGGTATAAACTTGTCATAATCAACTGACGTCTGACACAATAAAAATTATTATTTATTGTTATTGTACTTTTTATATTAAAGAATAAAATTGCATAAATTATATTGTATACTTTTAAAGGATTTGAATTTAGCACTATATTATAACCATTCAAAAATATAATAAACTACTGGCGATTTTATAATAGGTAGTAATTGTGGCGGATCAACATTCTGCGACGTTGTAAATTATTATTAAAATATTATTATTATTATTATTATTATTATTATTATTATTATTATTATTAATTATTATTATAATGTATACCTAATATTATATTGGATTGTTAATAATAAATAACAATATTTATTAAACAAAGTGATTCACCAAGCATTCTCGCCCACTTTTATTCTTCAATAATGCAGTTATTTAAAATCTGATTTTTTCAATTTTAGATTCTGAGTGGAACGATGAATCTAATGATTTTACAATGATGTGTGTTTTCAAATATAAATACTTTAAAACCATATACCTACCTATTTTAAAATTCTTGAGATTTTTTTGTACTCCTTAAGGAGTGTCCTGTGTAGATACAAACTTCTGTTTTTCAAATGATAAGACTCTTTTTGTAATGTAAATTATTCAGAGGATAATTTTACCGAAATTGTTGACGTATCAGAATCAAAATTTGTACGGTATGGAACGGAATTTTTCTGAGTACAAATACATTGTTACACACCTTCGTACCTTCGTAATAATTTAACGGAGATCAATATGGAAATATTATCCTTACTTATTGTTTTTCCAATAACGATTAAATTGTATAGTTTTTCATCACAATCATAAAATGTATTGTATATAATATTGTAGTTTATTGATATAATCGTTTTTTCATCATTAATGTTTTGATTTTATTACTTTAAAATAAATAAATTGCTGCAATATTCAAAAATTATTTTGCATATTTTGTGTTTTAAGTGCATATTTGAAACTTTTTACATGCATATTTCAACATTTTAAAAACCTTTACATCCAAAAGCATATATTATATCCGGTCTTTACTAATAAGTAATAACTAATAGGTAGTAATAATACGAACGTAAACATGACTTGTCATTTTTCATACACTAAACAAATATCTAATAAAAGTTAAAATCTGACCTACGTCATGTTTTTTTTATATAAGCCGACCAAATAATATTATATAGGTACCGAACTAATAATACTGTACATATTATTACTATATGTATACAAATAACAAAATATCTAATTATTGATAATTGCAATAATTTTCATTCTCGTTCAAACGTTTACATACTTTTTAAGAGAGGTGTCTCGTGTCTGTGTATTATTAATTATTATATACCCACTAGTGATATGAGGAAGAAATTTCTATTATGAAATTTCTTAACAAAATAATTAATATATAAATTTTTTACGTACAACTATTTTGACTAAATAAGACTAATAATAAAGAATTGAGTCTATGTCTATTTAAAAAAGTATATATTGATTATTATTTATTTAAATTAAATTTACTGATACCATTTAAAAATTAGATCAAATTAGGGAATAAAATATTTGTCTAGATTTAAAGAATAATTTTAAATTGATTAAAGCTAATTAAAAAAAAATTTATATTTAATAAGTTGAATTAAAATTAAATTTTTAAAAAACATATATTTTAGAAATTTCTGGAAATTTCCTATAGGAAATTTCTTCATAATTAAATTTCTGAAATTTAACATCTCTAACACCCACACATAATACGTATGTACCTACATATATTCCTAGAAATGTACTCATTGGTGTAAAATAATCTCTGCGCCAACTGACTTACGAGGAATCGATTATGGAAAACTGGTAAAGCCGTCGCAATATTACCCACATGCGAAATACTCTACATCGGCGTGGGCATTCTCGATCCATGATTAATTATAAATTATAATATACCGGGAATAAGGAAGATACTTTAAAAACAAGTATCTAGATACAAGATATTAATATTAATAGATACATAATTACATCAATGTTTACCTATAGTTACATTGGACATTTGCATAACGATAATATACTATAATATATATATATATTTAAATAATTATTTTAGTTAGTAAAATATAAGATATTTCATTATATCATACGCCGTCTTTGTTTTTGAAATCATGAATATACTAATTATTTGATCAGTGTAAAATACAAATTAGTTGACATTACAACATGACGAGAAGAAATGTTATGAATGACCGAGCGATTAGTTGAGTGGGAATTAGATGTGGGGGGTAAAAAAAAAGGTTTTTAACCCTTATATTTGAATATTTTACATTTTAGCAATTTTATTTTCAGAAATAATTATTTAAAAAAATATAGTACCTTGTATCTTAGTCTAAGATCTTAAGATAGGTACACTATTTAGTATCTAGTAAATATCTAGTAAGCAACGGATCTAAAAGTGGGTATGGGGGTCACCTGATCCACAGTTCTTACTCAACATTGTCTTCCTATCATCAGACATAATTACGCTACCCATACATTTGTTGTCTCCGTCTTAAACACGCACGGCCAAGCAAATTGTCGTTCACTAGTTTCAATAGTATGCTGTTAGTTTTGATACTAGAGTGAATTGACCTATTATAACATGTTTAGATAATAACATTATATGTGCTTAAGCTTTAGCTTTTATTCGATATTTTAATTTTCAAGCGGAATATGCCATATGATATTTTCGGTAATTACCGAGGTACGGTATTTTTAGGAATTACCAGGGTAAGGTATTTTCGGTAATATAATGGTAATTACCGAATCACGGTATACCGGAATTCTGAAATAACGAAGATACCGGATACCGGTATTTTTTAAATAGCGCGAAATATAGGTACACTGAAAATACAGGCAGCCCTACAATAAACGTAGGTAATGCAGGTAATCAAAAATTGGTTGTTCGTATACTTTATTATTGCTTATTAGTTAATGCTTGTACTATAATATATTGTCTCAAACGGGAAACAGTAGCGTTCGTACAAATTCACAGACTGTTTAATTTGTTTTTGTGGTGAGATCCCGTTTGGACATTATATGGATTTTTATAAATCACACTGTATATTTAGACTAAACTTAGACAGGTTATATTTTAAAAAAAAAATTAAATATTTATATTATTTTAAATTGAATGCCCACAGTTTTTATTATATTTATATAGATTCAAATCGGATAATTTAATCTGTAGGATGGGTGAAAATAATGGAAAATATTGGAAATATTTTCTTGGTCGCCTCTTTTTTCGTTTTGGATTCAATTTTGATCTATTATTTTTTAACGATTCAAACAAATAGATATTATATCATAAATATAATTATATATATAATATTATATCACTGGGGTTTTAGATACGTGTGGCTGGTCAACTGTTCGATACTAAACATGATCTGGATGACCGGCCTATGCGCCGCCGTGTTGGATTGCATCGTATGTGGTCCGTTCCAAAGGATCCTGCCACCTAGCAGCTGGGACCAGGACAAGGAGCGCACGTACGCGGATATCTCTGAATGGGTGGCAGATTGCTGGGTGACGACGAAGCTGTACACGAGCCGATTTTTCAACCTCAGGCAAACCCATACCAAATTGGTAAATAATTCGTATATTGAAGATTTATATGTATATTTTTAAACCAATTTAATGTAATATAGTGATGACGTATTTGAGGTTAGGCGATAGTATGAGGAAATTCCCTTGGAGTTAAGAATAAGGTTGTTTTTTTAATCTCTGTATAATGAATTAAAATAATTCATTTTAAAAAACAAACGGATATCTCACTCTACTGTATTGTAGGAGTTTGAGTTAGTTTTCATCAGCATCTATAGATTTTACTATTATATTATTACCTATTGTTATAATCATTTTCTTCATTTGGTAGGTTGAAATAATTTTTTCAAGCCATTAGTCATTGCTGACAAACCCACGTAGAACTCCGTAAAAAGGCCCTTTGTATAAAACCTTAAAATAAGTATAAATTATCTAGATATTGACGAATTTTATCAACATTTAAACTTCAAATGCTTATAAAACGAAATCGTAAAAATATATCTTTAATATTTTTTAAATCCTATTATAACAACTAATAAGAAACCTTGTATTACATTTTCAAGCATTTTACAGTATAAAAATGTATCCACATCTAGGCTCAGAAGAACTAAAAAAAATAAAAAATTTAAAATATCTGTAAAATAACTCAAAAATATCCACAGTATTTTGAAAATTATTTCCAGTACAGAAAATGCTTTTATAAACAGTATGTAAACATTTCAAGTCCCTGCTGTTATTCCTTTCTAAAAATCAACAAAAACACCAAACTCGATTTGATCGAAATCTTGTGTTGTGTATTCGGTTTTCCGCTGTTATTTGTTTTTTATTCCCAATTATATGGATTATTAGTAGAGACAATTGTCTACTTTTGAACTTTCAAAGGTACCAAACTACTAACTAGATAATATAATTTTATATCAGAAACCACCCTCAAATTGGAAGATTTTAATATAAGAATGCTGCCAACAATGTTATGACAGAAAAAAAACAATTATTATAAGGGCAAATCTCCCAGTTCAGAAATAAAATTAATGTTAGGCTCTACTTAAAGAAATAAATTCAATAACTTGATTAATGTTGGGCGTGGAGGGCGTGTAGCTGAATCAAAAGACCTGTGTGAAAGTAGTATAAGTGATATGTCGATGATTGATATTTAAACACTAGGAATGGTATGAATTTCACCGTAAAATTGCTTATCACAAATTAGGTTCCTACTTTGGTGACAAAATTATAATTAATTTTTTGGTATTCGCATAACCCACATTATATAAAACTCGTCAGAGCCGGGCTAATAATTTATGAGCTTTTTCATAATGTTTAGCTTTTTTAGTTTCCATTAAGTACTGGAATATTATATATTTTTATGGTTGAGAAAGTGTAAAAGTTTCGACTGCAGGAGCAGGACGTAGGCGTATAATATATAATAGCCCCTATATATGTATGTAAGTGGGTTTATGAATGGGACAGCAAAAGGAAGACACAATAACAGAATGATTATTTTATCACTTAATACTAATTTTTTCGGTACATTTATTTGTTTTAGAAATTATTGTTTTTTAAAGTCATTACAAAATTTTTGAAAATTTAGTTATCATCTTTGAATTTTAAAGTGTTCTACTGTTTTATATGACATCATACACATATTCCAAAAAGTATAATATTTTTTTAAGAATTTCGATGTATAAAACTCGATTATCTGACGGTACAATTAACACAGACATATACCATAACACAAACACCTGTGTATATGTTTAGTGTTGTTTACGCAACTACCAATATAATACGAGTGTGATAAAAGTAAAAAATAATTAAAACACTTATAATCAACTTCAAAATTAGTTTGTTCAACAAAGTACCTCCCTGCAGCTATTATCATACAATGGTATTGAGCTTTTGGATTTTTATGAGAGGTCAGCACACCCTTAAATCAAACTTAGCTCCTCTCGCCCTTGACGTTTAGAACGAAAAATGCGATCTCGGTTATATTGTTCCCTTGTGTTAAACGGAGATAACCTACTACAGCTGCTGCCTGCTATATATACATATTGTAGCTCTCTTAAAAATGTTAAATATCACGTTCTTATATTATAGTGTATAACTGTATATATTTTTTTTTAATTACCTTAGTCCGCAGGTGGGATAAGTGGGTGGGTACCTACTGTATATCAAATTACTATTTTTATGCGCATAATTCTTAAAATAAACTATTGCAGCGCAGTAACAATTTACATTTGAAAATAAATTCCTTTATTCGCTTAATACAGTTTAAATGTTATTAAATTGTTATAAACGTTTGTTAAAAAAAAAAAACTGTACATACCTCACGTAACACTGTTACAGTGTACCTACCTGCCTTTATCCGTTTACCATGCTTTTGCGACTCACATTTTATCAGCTGTAAATTCCTCAAGTCATATTCGCAATGCCATAAAAATTGATTTAGACTTTAATACTCGTCCGCTCTAGTGTTATTTTTAAGCGCATGCGTAAAATGTATTTATTTTATGTGGATCTTTGTGATGAAGTGGTACGCAACAGTGCAAGTACAATATTATTATATAAGCACTATAATACCACTGTTGTAGCGAAATCCGTCAGAGATTTATACTTTCTATAAACTTCGTCAATATATATCTCATCCACCTTGCGGAGTATTATTATTATTATTTATTGATCCATATAAATCCTTATTTTCACTTGTACACAATTATTTATTTATTTATTTACGTGCAGTGCAATACAATAATTGAAAAATGCACTCGTGCCCTTCCAATATGTGTGTATGTAAAATTTGTTAAAATTGGACTTTAATTAATAAATCAGATATGAAACAGCTGTACCCCACACAAAATTATCTTTGTATAAACTGGGTGAATCAGCAATAAAAATTAAGAAAAATAATTAAAACGAAAACTAGATCAATATTTTATGCACACGTTTTTCAGAAAAAAATTGTTGAAAGCCATAGGTAGGTAACTAAAAATATAAAGTTAATACGAAGATAGAAGTATTTACCTATATAAATAGAATATTTTCTTCATTTTTTTGTATCCACTTACCCTAAATAATTATTAGTGTATTTAATTTAATTATCTGTAATGTGATTTTTCTAGTTATTTACTAGTTTACTTATTCAAAATGCTTTCCCAAGACTTATTTCCATGCCATTTTCCCCCTGATATTTGTTTTTCCAGCACCCTTACTTCTCAAGATTTATTTTCCTACACTCCCCTTAGAAATATATGGAATCATTTAATATTTAATTGGACTTTGGGCATAATATTATTTATCTTCTTGTACACTTTTAAATCTATTTAGTTTATCTAATTTCTCTCACCACTATTAATACATATTACACTCGTACATACAACACACACAAATACTCGATGAAAGTGGGAAAAAGAAAATCCGTGTGTCATCGAAGTGTGTCATCTTTAATAATTAAAAATTATTAAAAAATAATATTATGAACTATATATGCAGTGAAACAGTATCTACTTGATAATATAATATATATTTTTTTTTCAGTTTCATTCTGTCTTATCGGTATCGTTCTTCAGCCTTTTGTACATCGGAACCACATTCAACAATATGTTCATATCATATATTACAAGTATGTCATCCCACAACCATGGGACGTAATTTAAATATTCGGTAGACATGTTGATAGCATTACTGTCATTTAAATATAATTAAATAATTTTAAAAATATGTATATAATATATCGTACTGATATTTTTATGTCGTGTAGTTGGGATTTTCAGTGGTCGGAATAATGGTACCAATCGAAAATTAATTTTCGGGTAGTTCTAAAATATTTACACTATTTATACAATTTTAAATTACTAATCATTCATCAACTAGTTAAATGTAAATATGTTTAAAACTAAAAAAAATGGTAGCAATAATTATTTTATACCTACATTTTTATACATTATTTAAAAATTGGCATATTATTGCTATTTATTTATTTAAGTATTTGTTTAGTTGGTCTCATGGTGTGTTGTATATTTTTTTATACTTCTGAGCGTTAAAAGTTATCATATGACCTAACTGATGCAAAAAGTTGTATTTCAACCCGTCAGTGTTTGGCATGAGCCATATCAAAAGGAACTAATTCCGTTCCTCGAGGAATGATCGTCCTTTAAAAATATAAAAAAGTAATTCGTTCTGTTCCTTGTTATTTTGTTTTGTAAGGAATTTGTTATTTTTCATTTATACAAGTTTCTCTCTTATTTCTAAATTTAATATACATATATGTATTAAATTATTAAAATAACTGAGAGAGTAAGAAATGTAAATTTTCTCATCATTAATTTGTACTATGTACCTATACTTACTAGTTTTGTGTAAATTAATATGACATATTTAATATTTGAAACTCCTATTCTGGATTATTATAGATAGATTTATCGCGATGAATTCATGATTTCTATACTAACATTGGGTTTCACGTTTTATGTTAGGTAGGTACTTGTAGTGTGCAGACTTTGCACTAACGGAAAGATCAAATTTAGGTACACATGAGACATAAGCTCCGACACTGGAACTTATTTTATTACAATAATACTGGATTTCCACTAAACCGTTGTCGTGTAGGGTTGAATATATTAAACTTATAAAGCGTAATGTGTGACCGACATTTTGTTACCTACATATTGAATATACGGAAAACGACACGACACGGTGTATAGTTAAAACCTGGCTTAACAGTAAAATTCCGAACGAATAGAAAATATTATTTTTTCATGTATAAAAGGTTTTTTTTGTCCTACTTACTATATAAATTAGTGGTTTCATCACCCATTGTTGTTGTCCACTCTTCTGGAATATTAAAATTAGAATTTAATGGTTTACTATAAGTACCTAAATGTCTATCCTGGGTATTTTGAAATATAGATAGGTACTTCGTTTAACAGCCACATCTAGCTGTATCTTCTGTAAACACTTACAATAAATTGTAAAAATAAAATGAGCTTTCAATATATTTTAAAATAAATACTTATTTGATTAGGATTTTCTCGTGTTAACAATAATTATCTCAATTTGATTGTATTGTTTACTGTGTGGTTATGTGACGTTTCATTTGAATAATTTATGTATGTAATGAAATACCTAATGTTAATTTACTTTAGTAAATATAAATAAACATAAACTATGATAAAACGATATTAAAACTTACAGGTTTAATCAAATTAGTTGTTTTTTTCCACGAACATTTTAATACTGTATTTTGTGCGAATTCCCGTTCTGTAATACCTATTTTCATTGTATTTTAAAAACTCTATAAGAATATTTATTATATCCTATAAGCTCACCTACTCCTCGACTTTCAAAAGTTTCCAATATATTTATTACAGGTACCTATTAGGTATAGTTTCATTTAAATGCAGTGTACTACTGTCAACCTACTAGGTACCTACTGAGACTGTAGGTACCAGAATATCCCGCGTTGGTAGGTACTTACCAGTTTAGTATATAGGTATTTTATATTAATGCAATTAGAGATTTTTAAATAATCTGGTATTACGAAATATTTCATATTTTATATTATGTAAAGTGAATGAATTGTAAATGCAAGAAATCATAAGATTCATAAAAATATCTTCATCAGATGATTGAATCAGTATTACGACTCGTATACAATATCAATTTGAATATTTTTGGTGCATATTTTAGAATGTCTATGACAAAAACATGTTTTGGAAACCTAAACTTTATAATATAAAGATAATATAATTCTGATATAATATAATATTTATATGTCATCATAATAGTATTTCTGTAAGTGCTATAACTTATAAGACGCAATATTGTAGATACATTGGTGGTCAAACGGGTGAGGGGGAATATATTCCCCTCCACCCGTGACCTTTTTTCAATGTTCAATATCTGATAACCATAAATTATATTTTTAATAATTGAATTGTGCATGTTAAAAAATCATATATGGAGCCACTGTGTAGGTATAAGTAGTAGAAGTCAAGCTTTAAAATGGTGAGTTTTAGAAATGTCTTATTTATACATTTTTAATATATTATAACCTATAATTTATATTCAAACATATTTCATAGTACGAATACAAATACAATTACAATACACTAAAATTAAAATAGATTATTAACAAATCGATAAATATTTTTAAAAATGTCCGTTTGTCCTTTTTACACTTAATTAAAAAAACATACCTATTTTATAATAATAATATTTTAAGTTTAATAATAAATAATACCTTATAGATACATTTTCTAAATTTATTTTTTTTTTTATTTAAGATATGATATTTGAGACTGGACTGGCCACGGCTCTAAAAGAAAAAGTTCATAGCGTATAATTGAGATTTTTAACTAAACATTTACAAATATTCATTATTATTTTTTTTTAACATAGTTTTAACATAATATGTTTTTGGCTGGGGAGGTAGGTAGGTACAATTTTTTTTTCTTGGTAATTGATTTTCATTAATTCTTAACAAAATGTAGCATGCTACTAGATATTTTCCACTGCACTACCTATACCAAAAAACATACCTATTTATAATTCCTCAATTTTCAGTACGGAGAAAAATATCTAGTAGCATGCATTTTTTTTCCTGTTGACCCCTAATATGGAATTTTTACAAATTAATTATTGAGGTGTCTTTGATAGGTTACGCGGTGTTACTCACTTGAATAGGGTTTACTGTGGAACATTTTTAAAATAAAAACGTGTAAAGTTTGTTTGTATTCATATACCTTTAATTAATGACAATATTTAATTTTTTTTTTTTAATATTTAAATGACAGGACATGTCGTTTATCGTTTGGGTATTGTAGCATACCTATACTCTGTTCAACGAGAGAACTCAAGGCGCACAGACCAAAACTGGCTTGTTTTATGTTATATTATATGTTTGATAAAAATTAAAAGTGAAGGCTGTCGAAAGCGAACCATTTTGAAGGGGTTGGATTTAGGAAATATTGTAGGTACATCCATCGTTAGTGCTGTGTGACTGGGTGTGTAGTGACTGATCATTAGTGTGTGTGAGTTCCCCAAACGCTTTATGTAATTAAAGATAAACGACGTCTAAGATTTTTGGACCTCAGTAAAGTACATATAGGTATTATAGGCAGTCACGTCACATTATTTTGTGATAAAAAAATGTTCAGCTTCCATGCGCCACGAAACTCCCAAAAAGCGGAAGAAAAATTCCCCCAGTACTAAAAGCCCTATTTTAATTTGGGAAAAATATTTGAATTCCTTAATCTCTTTTCTGGGTTATGTAGGAAATTTATTGAAGTATTGTTTAATTAGTATAGTAACAATTTATTTTTTTCAAAATTCACTTTTACTTCCATATTACTAAAAAAAAAATTTGCTTCCTACAGGTTAGGCTACAAAACACAGACAAAAAGCGGAGAAATTCTTATATTTTTTCGAAATTAAAATTGGACTTCTGGAAGTATATTATTTTTTTCTGCTTATTGGTCTAAATGCACAAAAACGACTAGTTTTCAATAGCCCAAATATAGTCTTGTATTTTTGACTTTTGTTAGTAAACTTTAATAGTATTCTGATATAATGATAATATATTAATAAATACATTAACGATTAACCTATAGCTTACAATAATATTAATACATTGTTATATTAAATGTATGGGTACCATAGTTGTTAACATAAATATATAGTCATAAAAAGAGTAGTAACACTTTATGAACAAAGGGGTCATAATTAGATATTCTAGCATTTCAAAGGCTAAAAAAAAATCAAGTGCCCCCCCCCCCCCCAAAAAAAAAAAATATTTCTGACTACGGCAGTGGTCCATAGTATACCTGTGATAAATTATCAATTTAAATTAAATAATATACTTTTATGTAGGCTTAGTAACAAACTAACAAATAACCGTTTGTGTTTGTATTTTTAAGTTTTAGCGATTTTGCTGTTTCCCGGATTCAAAACCAAATCGGAATACATCGAGGGCAGTCTGCAAAGGTACGCTCATCATATGCTGTCCGGGGACGACGACGAGGCGTCTTCATAAGGCAACTAAACTCCTCAAAGCCAATAAGCGATCTATCCAACCAGCTCATTTAGCTATAACGTTTTAGTGAAAATAGATGGGGTGTATAGAGTTCATTAAATATTTTTTTCACCTTTTAGTTTTCGTAAATAATTATAATTTGTCATGTACCCTACTATTTACAGTAGGTAACAATAATGTGTGTGTGTACCTATGTTATGTTAATTATTAATAATTGTGAGAACAATTTGTGAGTCATAGAAATCGCGTTTTATAGTGATGAAAACGGATAGAACATTTAAATAATTAAAATAATGTAATTTTGTAATATTATGAAAATAATATAGGTAGTAATGGAGATAATAGTTTTTTTTTATAATTATTATTGTTTTACTTGCATTGTTTTTCGAGGTTCATAATACAAATATATCAATTGGACGGTCGTTAAAATACAAACGACTAACGAGATATAACAATTTGGCAGTGTTTTTATTTTTATTCAACCAGATCTGTTGTTCATGCTAAAAATACCTTTTTTTGATTCCAACGCACAATTTAAGATACTATATAGGTACTTAAAAAAAGATAGGTAAATAAGTCTTAAACCGTGTTCCAACATAATGATTGATAGTATAATGATAATATTATTACGATATAAAGATGCATTATTTATTAATACCTAGGTAGGTACTTATTATTATATTTTTATTCATTCATAGAATATCTGCTGAATTGAATAATATTTAATATTATATTATGTGTAGGTAATTAATTATATTTTAATAATGGTAAGGAATTTGATTATTATAATTTAGTTGTGGACCATTAGGTAAACAAATACACACAATTCATTAAATTATCTAGTTTAAAAATTAGAGCGATTCGACTTATTATGAAACTTGATAGTAAGTACAATATCTGTGTTTGTATGTGGGTTTTTACGATAGGTAATTACCTACATTTTTTATTAAATTATGCGTTTATAATATAGCGTAAATTAAAAATGCTCATAACTCACTTAAAAACTGAATTATCGTAAAAAAACTCACATACAAACACAGATAACGTTCTTACCATCAAGTTTCATAATAGGTCGATTCACTATAATTTTTAAACTAACTCAGTTAAACGTGATCTGCTGAGAGTAAATTTGCTATGTTATGCACCATTGTAAGCCGGAGACAACAAATATCCGTGTAGCGTCCTCTTAACGTTCTTGATGGACGTAGGTTACTTCATAATTGAATGCAGGTCACTGCAGTAATGCAGTCAGTATTATTGAATGACATATTAAACTTAAATTCAACAATAGTTCAAAGTATTTGATGAAAAACGATTCTCAGCTAAGACGTTTTAGATAAATAATATATAATAGTTGAATATTTCTATACCAACCTAATTATTTTGAGAAACTCATTTTACTTCTATTCCTCCTATAATACGTTATGATTAAGATGACTTTAGGCATGTTAACAATTAATTATTAATATATTATATGAAAAAGTTTTTAAAAATACTATCCACTAAGTGACTAAAATATAGGTACAACCTTACGGCACAGCAGGATAGCAAAAGAACATGGCAACTTTCAATTCCATGCGGTTTAGCTAATCCTGGCATGGCACTATAAAAATAACCATATAGTATTTATGAGCATTCAGACATTGAGACATACATTATGTTTCAATGTATTTATCGAATTACCTACCTATAACAGAATAACAATTAAAATTGTTTGAAGAATAATTTTTATTTTTCAATTACATCTGTTGGTCGAAATTTTAACTAAAAAATTTTATATTCGTTACTTTCTGTTTTTAATTTCTTAAATTTTCTTTTTCTTCAAATATAACAGTTGATGCAATAAGGTAGAAGTTACCAAAAAGTATATAATTTAATATTATTGGTAAATAGTAATTAGTTAGCAGTCTTTGCTATTTGCACCATTATTTTTTGAGAAGGTACCTTCAGGGCTATTATAGCAATAACACTTTTTATTGCTACTTCTAAAAAATTGAAATTCCCTATCATATAATTATACACAATACATACACATTAAAACTGTAAATCGGTTAAACATTTTGTCGATATCCAAAGAGTAATCAATACAAATGTAAATTGCAATATACCTATAAATTAATGCAGTTGCAATGACTATATAAAACAATTTAGGGCATTATAAATCACTATAAATGTATTATTGCATAATTTGTTTTAGTTTTCCGAGGCAAGTCTGAGAAAATTATATAATTTATATATTAATATATTTTTAAGTTTATTTAGTTTTGTTTAAGGCATAATAATAATAATAATAAATAATTATTTAAATATAACTAATCATGTTTTAAATTTGATAGGTTTGATCCAACACATTGTATTAACCAAAAAAAACATATTGTCAAAAATTCTTCAATAGAAATACATGAATGGTTTTTTTATTTGTATCCTGATTCTTGAGTATAACTATAGGTTACAAAAGTAACTTTCAACCTTAAAGCGCCTGGTGCCAATGTAATATTGTACACAAAAATACACTCTACAAGAATAATGATCCTGTTCTGTAGAATCAACTAAATTTCATATTTTTTTTTATCCAATAGAGGGTAATATTTTACAGGTTACATCAAACTCTGTTTTTCGATATTTTAGAGTCAAACTTAATAATGTTCTCAAAAATAATACAATTTTAAACGTTTTTTTACAATATATATTATACCGTTATTTGAAATAAAATTTAAAAAATGAAAATCGATGCGGTTTGTAGGAAGTCATCTTCTTTTAGATAAAAAAATAATTATCAAAATTCGACAATTCTACAAGGCCTGAGAATTATTCCAGTGAAGTAATTTTTTTCAATATAATACAACCTATCAACCCCCCCCCCTAAATATGTATAGGATCTATAGATCAGTGGAAAAGTATTATAACTAAAGGGGCAACTAAAATATAAAATTTAATTTTCAAACTTTATAGAATTGCGGAAAATTTGAAAAACCGACACCGGGCTTCTTAAGTAAACTTAGTTAATATTTACATAAAAATGTGTAACACTTAGTTACTAATTCCATTTATATTATTGAATAACATTAAAATAAAATAGTTAACTTTTTATAGGATGACTTAACTGAAACTAGTTTTAAAAAATGTTCTACTTAGTAACTTGCCCAGCATTGAACATTATAGTGAGTCATACACATAACCTACTACATTATAATAAAGATATTAGAATATATACTTAAGTTAGATATTTATTATATATTTTAATGGGTAGGTTTTTTTAAAATTATCTTTAAAAAAAATGTATATAAATCCAAAAGGAGCTAAATAATGTTGATTCACAGATAAATATAGAAATATTATTAACTATAATAGTTATACTTATATATATATAGGTATAGTATATGACATATAATATTATACATAGGTTATTTGATACATTTTGTATCCACTCAATTCACAAGAAACTTAATATAAATATGTTTACATAGTTTATATAATATAATAATTAAAGTTGACAATAATAAATAAATATGAAAACTATTCAATAGGGTACAGCACTATTAAAGATTATAAATTACTGATATATCACAATATGTTAACATTGAAAGGTAATATTATGATAAATACAATTCAAATAATCATTCGTACAAAACACTATTACAATATACTATTATAAGAGAATAATTAAATAAAGTAAAAAACTATCAATAAATTATTATAATACTATTTTATAAAATAAAATGGTTAGTATATATATTATACTTAATGCTGATGATGTTATGTTCACTTGGAAGACTTCTTTTTACCCTAGAAAAAAAAATGTTTTATTTATTTGAACAAAGTTTTACAAAATTAAACATTTTAAGTCTACTCGTTAAAATATTTAGCAATCAAACATACAAGTAAACAATTGTTTTGCTTGAAATCATCAAGATTTTGGTATGATTTTATCTTCTTTTTCTCATTTACAAGTTTAATATACTACTGAAGAAATAATCCAAAAATGTCTGCCCATGTTTTCAATTCCAATTGATTAATAGGCTATGCAGAGGTTTAATTTTACAATCTTACCGAAAAAAAATTGTTTTTCACCAAATTCCAGTTTCATCTTAGTTTTTTTTTTTTGGTTTTTCCCTACACTTTTGAAAATTACTTGGACATTTTTACTTTTTACCCTCCAAAGTACCAACTAAATTCACTTTCCTACTGTAAAAGATGCTCAAGTAAAAAATTAAAGCATAAAAATGCCTAAAAAAAAATAAACAAAAAGGTAAAAATACCTAACCTGCCAAAAGGTTATGACAAACACAAAAATAACACATTCATCACTCAGAATCTAAAAGTTACAAAATATAATGTAATCAGTGCCCCAACTAAACACTATGGGGCTGATGTGCAAATCTTAATTTGGGGCCCAAATATACTAAATGTAAATAAATTATTATATTAAACTATCTAAACAAAAATATTTAATTGTATAATTTATTGTTATAAAAATAGTATTATAGTATAACTTCAACACATTTGTAAATTATGTAACAAAATTGTTTTTCTTCACTTTTGTGTTTGAACAGTTGTCAATGACTTTCTCTACATCTATGTCGGAAGTTCTTCTCCACTCAATGTTCAGTATGGAAATGTCACTGAGACGGTCTTGACTTATAGAATTGAACAACAATTTTTAGAATCATTTGAGTTTAATTTGATTACAATGAATTATAAATATTTAATTTTATGAACACATTTGTTTTTTTTACTCTTATTTTTGATTTAATTTTCTTTAGCCACAGCTTTACAATTTATTTTAACACATAGATTTGGGGGCATATATCGGATTGGGGCCTTGGGGGCCGATGTGCAATGAACACCTTGCATACCCGGTAGTTGCGGCTCTGAATGCAATAAGTAATTTATATTTTAAATCCAGAATTATGAAACAAATTGGCATCAAATCAAATTTTTCGTATATATTTTCATTATAATTGTGCAGGTATGTAAAGCCTCAAAAACCTGGTAATTATATCAACGATTTTGAATTTAACTCACTGCTTTCATTTTCAATTGACTGTTAAGATCGTCTATATGCCGCCGCTCTAACACAACCGTCTCGTTTAAACTAGCCAAATGTTCGGTCATTGCTCTGAGTTGTGACTCGTAATTGGTAGATGTTAAGTGAAATTCCTCTTTCAGATCATCAATGTGTTCAGATGCCTCGTGTAGCTTTATTTCCAGATCATTACGTACAAATATGCTATGGTCCAGTCGCGTTTTCAATGCGGTGATCTATATAATTTTAAACATATTAAAAATACATCAAATTTTAGTGGACAAAGAATGATTGGCATAAACAGAATAATAATATACGTGAGCTAACCTCCATAGCGTAAGCATTGCTTTGGCTGGATAATTCTTTATTCGTGGAAATCAAATTGTTAATTTTCTTTTCAAAATAACATTTGAGTTCTTTTTCTCTCTCCATTACTCCATCATTAAACTGAAAACCAGACTCACATTTTCCCAACTGCAAAACCAAAGATATATAATTAATTAAAATATATCATAAAGAGTATATACTAACAGTTTCATATCATCAATAAATGTGATATTTTTTACCACAACCATGTACTAATTAAGTATAAGGTCTATGACATGGCTTAAATATACCAGATTATTGCAATAGTACCCCCACTACATCATTTTATCACATTAAGGAATTAAAATGGCAGTGTAAGAGCATGACCTATACTGGCTATACTATGATATATACCAGGGATGGGCAACTGGCGGCCCACGTACCATTTTTCACTCGCCCGTGCTAAGTTTCAATTTAGTTAGTTTAATATAAAATGTTAAGAATTTTCTGTATTTGATTTTATTATATTTATAAAACTATTAAAATTGATATAATGTTTATCGTAAAACTTAGATGTCAATTCTTATCTAGTATCGAACTATTAAATGCAAATTATATTATATTATATATAGGGGTATAGTTAATATTAGGTTTTTTTTTTGATTTCTATGTTCTTTGGCCAGCTGGATTTTTGTACATTCAATATTGGCCCACTAGTAGCATTGAGTTGCCCATCCCTGATATATACTAAGATATGGACTGTACTTTTGTTTGATAACAATATAGGTTATGTGCAATAACCTTATATGTATATATATATGACCAAAACACTGAAATATTTACTTAACTTTTACAACTTATGATAATAATATATTATTAATATAAAACTACCAATGTATCTAAATAAAAAATATTTACACAACCAGGATAATTCCTAGCAGGCCCGGCTGAAAATATTAGAATATCCCGAACTCTGAACAATGAACTATGAATAATAATAAATAATAAATATTATGTCTTACTGAAAAATGGGCTGTTAACTTTTTTAGGGCGGGTTAAAATCCTAAAACTCAATGACCCGATACCTCAAATGTGTACCTTGTCACATTAATAAATAAGCTAAATTTAAAATTCAATGATAAATCATTTCACACCAAAAATAGTTTTAGATGGACACAATTTCAGCTTTTATTTCTAAGGATATTTAATAACATATTTATATCGCCGTTAGTAATTAATTTTTCAACTAGGATTGATAGGTTGAACTAATTTTTGTTAAGACATCGCATATATTGTTTAATAGAATATTAAATCGTAGACTATTATTTTCTTGTCAACACCCATATACCGTAAACGGTAAGAATAAGTTCATGGTATTTATTAAATTTATAAATGTAGGCATTTTTAAGTGTATATTGTGTGTCGGGGTGCATAGTAAGTGATCATCAGTATGTCTTACAGTAGCAGGGCTTGAAATTAACTTCAAATATATATAAAACATTTAACAATCTTCTAAGAAATCAAAAGTAATAAAATCAAAATTTCTTTTAATGATATTTAAAATCTATATCAAATTAATAATAATTTTGTCATTTTTTATACTAATTGATAAAAAATTTAATTAAAATTTAAAATTTAACATTAGTACATCTGACCGTCTGTTGGTATAAGAAAAATACATAAAAAAGTATAAATATCTATTTTTTGAATTTGCTTAAATTTAAACGATTGGCATAGTTTTCAGAAAACATGAAGCTAACTATGAAAAGCTTTCAAAAATAGGTTACATATATAATATATAACTTTAGTTACAGGTTGAAAAAATATGTCTGTGTTATAAAATACTCTTAAGTATATAATTACATATATTGTTATAATTGTATTACTTACTTCATTTTCCACTGAAAATGCCCCCAAACTTGCAGAATATTTGTCTTTATATGGTATCTATCACAATATTTAGGAAATTAGAACAATAAAATCAAAATTTTATTTTCTTATAACAAATTCTAAGTATACATACACTTTCCTTGTTTTTACATAAAAGTTTATATTCATTTTCCCAGTGGATTTTTTCTTGTTCTAATGATAATGACCTGTTCATCTCTTCATTTAATTTTTCGTTATAAACATGTATAATACTTTTATAGCTATTTTGAGAAATTGATGCTGAATTTAATTCCTCTTTAGCCTGAAAATAGTTGGATGATTGTGAAAACATTATCTTAAAAACTAAAACTAATTGTAATTGTTACTTGTTTTGAATGTTTTACGTGCAACAGTGGATTTCTCATATGCCAGTGCATATCCACTTGGCTATATTTATATAAATATTCAAACTCCAATATATTTATGGCCCGTAACAGCTATAAAATGTACATAGACTGAATAGAAATTCGAGAGTAAAAATAATAATTAAATTGTACATTGAAGAAAATGTATATAATGTGAAGAACATTTTATATTTGATTTATCTACATATTAGTAATATTGTTTTACTTACAGTATGTACTGTATCATAAGCACCATCCAATTTTTTTGTTATATTGGTAGAATCCAAATATTCACCAGAGTTCACTAACTCTGTAAATTAAATAAATTTTATTAAAATCACATATAATATAAAGTAATATATTTTATAAATTTTTAAATACCTCCAATAGGAAACTTTAATGCCATAAACGATATTATGTTTTGACGCAAAGCTGAACAATCAATGTTAACAGTATTATCTATAAGAAAATAAACAATTAATATACAATTAATTATAGGAATACAAAAAACTGTTATTGTTAACTTAAAATAAAAATTCAAGTAGAATACATTACCTGATTTTATGAATTCTTTAATAGAATTAACACATTCAATATATTTATTTGATATGAATAGCAAAATATTTTCCATAACAATGTGTTGAGAATCAAATCTAAAAAATACAATACAATTGTTACTTTGCACATTGATTTATTATTTTAGTCTATTATTAGAAATAATTTAGTAATTTTAGTTGTTATTAGACCACTTATGTTGAATCCATATAATAAAAAATTAATCATTAACAAATTTGTGTATAAATGAGTCAATACTTTTTATTTTTATTTTATTTTTTTTTATTTATGAGAATAACATTGACAGCTAAGGCCAATTTATAATTTGAATTATATTTACATTTTGTTTACAATATTATTTTAACTTATATTTAAATTAAGTTGTTTAATTTAGTTTCCTTTAGGAAGTTGATTATATTTATGTTTTTATTTTATTTTATATTTGTATGATAGTATTAGCATTGATGTATATTTTAATTAATATTTATTGTGATCACATTTGCCTTATCTAATCTTAAAAACACGGGAAAATATTCAGCACAATGCGACACATTTTATTTTTTCTATATTATATAGTCTATAACAACACAATGTCAATCATTTTTAATGATGACAAAATTCAAAACGTTTATGTAACATTAAGAGTAATAATAAATTAATTTATGCTTACTTAAATGTTTTTAAATCAGCACTGTAATTTAGAATTTTTTCCAATACCAGAGAATTACTATGTAATTTATTTGTCAATGGTTTAATACTTTTTTGTAAGACACGGAAAGCCTGAAAATATATTTAAACAAATTAAAAGTTTTTATATTATGATCAATATTATAATAGTTCAAAACTATATAATGATATTATGTCCAACAATCAATAATAAATGTAAATACAAACATCTTTTGGGTTAATATCTTTGAGCAAATCTTCCAAGACATCATTAAGATTTATTATAAAAGAAAGAAAAAAATGGAGAACCAATGCAACAAAAACTTTTTGTAATCTGTCTTCGTCAGATTTATAGTTATTGTCCAAACAATCTAGAAATACAAAATATATACAAATTACAAAAATATAAATTAGTATATATATTATGTGAACGGAATAAAAAATTGTTTTTTTGATATCAATACTATGGCAAAGCTTGGGCTTAGGATTAGGGTGGACAAATCAACATTTTATTTTTTTATAAGTGTTAAAATATTTTTTTATGTAATAACTAAAAATAATAATACAGACAATAAACTATACGTATTATATTATACTATATAATATAGTATACAGTATATATTGTTCACATTTTTACTGATAAGGAGTTAGGAGAGTGCATATAACATTATACAGGTTCCACGAAGAAAGCCAATCTTCTATAAATATAAACGTACTTATCAAAATTAAATGTTTGATATACATATATCTTTTACATCCTTGCACAAGTACCCCCATTTTCAGGCACTCGTCACACACACCACATACCCTATGGCTAATAGTATGAGACTACAAGTATTTTCTCAGCTAGCAACATTTTTGTTGGTTTTGGCTCATCACAATGCAGCCAGACTGATAATCTGTTTATTTGTATTATACATATAAATATATAATATTATTTTATATTAATTTTATATTAATAAAGTAACATTAGTTTAAATAATATAATACACATGTGTATATTGTACATACATTTTAAATAATGTATAAATGCAATAACTTGTGCAGAAAATATTTCTATGTTTCATAGTTAGCTTTGCCACTGTATTAATATTATTTTAAACGAAATAAAAATTAGATGTATTTAATTTAATTTTTTAATTATACTTATAATACTTTTGACTGTAAATATACTTACAATGATTAGGATAAATGAGGCGAGAATCTTCAGTGCTTATTTTAGTTCTAGACTCGAGTTTATTATATAATATATTGTACAAGCAAGCAGTAACAGAACATTTTAATGCTGTTAATTCTTCATTGAGTACTTCACAAAAATTATTTGGACAACTATTTTGTATGCCTTTGCAGTGCTCAATTTCTGACATAATGAGCTAAACATAAATATAAAAATATGGTTACAGGTGCTATTAAATTAGATTAGATTCATTAAGATAAAAAATGTACAGACGTTGTAATCAAGCTGATTTGAATTTGTAGAGTCTAATACACGTTGTATATATTGGTGCATTGAGTTGATATCTTGTCTCAAGAACTGAACATCTTTGGATTTAAAATCATCTGCTCCTTTAACCTTTAAATTAAGCAATTATAAACATAAAACACAAAAATAAATGTGGGTATAATGCAAATAATATTTAAATGTTAAATACAAAATCATAATTTATTTTTATTTTTACAGCATTAAGAATTTAATAGAAGCATAAATAATGTGATCTACTGATGTAACTTTATAACCTTAAAATGATAATCTATATTTTTTTTTATAATATAATACATCAAATATTCCATACACAAATACGATCCATCTAAATGAATTGTAATTAATGTAAAATACCTACTGGTTTTATTTTATTTTTTGTTAATAAAATAGTTTGGTAAAAACTTTTAACTATAAACTGCTACAGGTATTATTAAAACATACTGTGTCGTATCATACTGTTTATATTCAATAGGTATATATTTAAGTTGAATAAATTGCACTGTATAACATTATAACACAGTAAGTTGTGAATGCCCCTTTACTCAAAATGGTATGATCCATGTCTAATTTAGACTAGAAAAAATTTAGTACTAAAAAATTTCAATTATTATAATAATGTAATAACATTTATGATAAACATAAAAAAAACTTACTTTAGAATTTACTTGACTTGTTTTGTTAAAATTCTCTTGAATTTCCGAACTACTTGTCGACATTGTATCATATTTACAGCTTTCAAACTAATTATAATAGGAAAAATTGATAAATAAATATCATAATATTAAAATGTAGTTAAAACAAATTGCATACTTGGTCCAGAGATTCAATACTCCTTTGATCCAATTTTGAAGTTTTTGCAGTATAAGCTTTTTTCAATACATTCAATTGCATTCTGGCCTATAAATATAAAATTTTAGGTAAATAAAATGATAATTTATTGATGGTAAATACATTGTTTATTTAATACCTAATGTTTTTAGCATCAATTATTATTTATTACAAACTTATTGCTTATAAATAATAACTCTAATATTTTATACAACCAAAATATAATTCTTATAAAATAATATTTCACCATAATAATAATGTGTAATTTCGCCACTGTGGTTTCTCCGCCATAGTCGTTAATAGGTATATTAATTAGCAGCAATGTACATAGAAGAATAGAACACTGATAAAACAGTCTAGTCCAAAAAAAAACGAAAACATAGCAACATAAAAATAGTGTGCAGCCAGGGCAAGCTAGGTAAACGCCGTATGCCCACATAAAAAGGAAGGAAATTAAACTTATTCAATTTATACATAATGTCAATTGGCAATATTTTATGTTATAATATAGGTAATTTATTTTAGATATAATATATTCCATTATATGTATTACATTATAATTTATATTAAAAATTATAAAAAAGAAATCATGAAATAAAATTATTTTGTTATTTAGGTAAGCAATATATTGTCAGAAGTACTCAGGATTTCGATTACCCAGCTTGTATTATTAGAGTCTCGATTAGAGTAGTCTAAGTAGGGTGCGGTTAGACGTGTTGACGACGGTTTTATGCAATAATTGGAAGAGCTGCATTGAGCAATTATAAATACTTTTAGAAACAAATTTTTCGATCTTCAATATTTTTTTTTTTAAATAAAATTAAACAATATAATAATGTTAATATTGTTGTACACGGACACAAGGCCCAAGCTTCCATCACAGAATATTACCTGTTAGATATATTTTATACAAATAGTTATCATTTAAGTTTTAATAATTTTTAATTCTTTTTATTCCTGGTGGTTAGTTTTAAGTTTTTTTTTTAAATAATAATTGTATGATTTTTTTTCTTGGCGCTTACCAAGCTTCAATACCACTGTACGGCACGGCTACATAACCTCTATTAAACACACTAATTAATTTTTAGTTTTAATGTTAAACACATTGATATATTTACTTTGGCAAACTCCATGGCCAATTTATCATACTTCTGCTGCAGATCTGATTGCGATTTATCGGTTTTGATGGAATCCGTGTCCGACATGATGTAGCTTGTGGCTTCTAGATGAAAAAATTAGAATTAATAGGTACTACATGTCAAGAAAGAAAGAAACACACAAATGGGCACCCATGTAGAGCATCCAATAGAGCCACTTAACAACAGTATACTTACGTGTCGACCTAGGAACGGCGTACAAAACACAATTTCAACTAACACTGGATCTCTGAAGTTTTGTAGATTTCAGAAAAGCGATTGCGAATCATTTTATTACTTGTGAGAGACGAGAGATCGTGAGAGGTTGAGAGGTTGCTGTAACAAATGCAGGCAGGCAGGCCGGAGACGACCACCGGTTAGACTCGCGACAAACGAACAATTTCGTGAGGCCGGGACAACCCAAACCGGGCGGTCTAACGATCGTTACGATTTATCGCGACGGACCCAGTCGAACCTGGCGTGTGTAAATTCCAAGTTTGACAAGAACAATACAATTTGAACAGTAAATAATTATAATAATATCATCACAGTTTAACTCCCTAGGTAGGTACTTTGTACTTAAATGACTTAAATAATACAAATTAAACCAACAGGCCGCCGCTTATCACTGCAATTAATTGTCGTTATCAAAAACGAAATAGAAAATAACAAACAATACTCGTATCAGCGCTGTGGTTATCTTACGTGGCTGTCGTTACTCGTTGCACGGTAATCGGTGGGCGTCATTAAATGGTGGTGAACACCGACAGCCACCTTTTCTAAACGTACGGTCTACTAATTAACGACAAGATTCATTTACATAATACTTACGCTGTTTTAAACCGTGCTAGTCAATAGTCACTATTCAAATAGATTTAATTACTTATTAAAACCTACTTAGTTATATTTTACGTTTCAAAATAATAATTGGAAGATTTTAGATTCTGAGCGGAGCGATGAATGTACCTATATTGGTTTTAAAATGATGTGTGTTTTTTTTGTGTGTACCTACACAATAAGTAGTCGAAATAATGATTCGATTTTGAACTACAGTATCTTGTTCGATGGGAAAGTGAATATTGTTATTGCATTGGGGAGAAAATTCAAAGTCATTTTAAAAAGCGCAAAGAAAAACAAAAAAAAATTAAAGAAAAACAGAAATTTTTAAGCAAAATCGGTTTTCGACGAAATTGATTTTGGTTTTCGGTGTAACTCTAAAACAGATGACCGTAGATTTATGAAATTTTCACTGGTAGTTTAAATTAGCATTTTCTATACACGAAAAAATTTTCAACAAATATTGATTTGTTTTGAACTGTTCACGAACATTTTCAGTTTTAAATTTTTTTTAGTTTCTATTTCTATAAATGTCAATAAAATTTTATTTGTTGAATAATATATCCTGAAAATTTAATACAAGGCTCCTAATATATTGTTACAATGACATTTGAAAAATATTAAAATCCATAATCACAGTTTTTTTTTTTTTATAAGCATTTAAAGATCAAATATTGACAAAATACGTAAAAAATACGAGAATGTACACATTATTTTGAGCTAGAAATTCATAAAAATGTTTCTATTTGAATCTAAAATTTGAAAATGTAATAAAAGATTCCTCATAAGTTTTTGTACCTTTAACAAAATAAAAAATGTCTTCAAGAAAGTCGAATTCAATTTTTATAAGCGTTTGAAATTCATATTTTTACAAGATTGGATATTCACTTGATTTTTCATGTAGGTAGCGATTTTGTTATTTTGTTGTAATTCAAAAGCGAATAAAACTGTAAATACAAGAAATTTCACTGAATTTTCATATTTTTATTTTCTATACAATTCTAATAATCTAAAAATTTGTCTTATGGAGAGGTGGAAAATAATATGTATCTATCCAGAGTTCACTGACTCGAGTGGGATTCTGTCCTGGACTAAATTAAGTTAATAAACTATAGTACCAGTGGCGCCGTGGAGGTCAAATGATTTTGTCATGTGGTGGGGGGGGGGATTTGGCTGATTTTTTAACATGCATTATTTTATCGTTAAAAATATAATTTTTGGTTATGTCTAATATCAATTTATAAAATTATGGTAAATACAAACTATAACTTAGGTATACAGACTTTATAAATAATATATTATAGGTACTAGGTAGTACCTATTAACAATATTTTTATTATATTAGTAAATCTATTTTTTTGGTTTTTTTTCTGCTAATTCATCCAGTACTTCATTAGATGTTATAATTATAACCCCACGATGAAGCCATAGTAATTATCGTCCCCTTCTCCCCCCCCCCCCACAAGGACGCCACTGGCATTGGCATATAGGTAATCGGTAAAAAAGACCAAATAAAAAAATAACATTGAAAAAATGAACAACTATTTAAAAATTTTAGTACATTTAAAATTTTAATTATATAATTTCATATTTATATTATAAACCATTTTTATCATAAAAATAGGGGGGCAAGTGCTAGGGCCTAGGTGGGTACTTTTCTATACAGTAATTAGTGTCTAAAAGGGCCGAATTGTCACTGTAATGTACTAATGTCAAAGCAAACAAATCTAGACCGTTTCATTAATTTAACAATATTAAATATTGGAAAATAACATGTCGTCAACTGACATAATTGAACAATTTGTAAATAGTAGATACAAATATATGAAATTTTGTATACCCAACCAAGAAAATCTTGAATACAAAGACCATAGGAAGGTAACGATCACGATGTCGAAAGTGACATCGATGAGTATATTATATTAATATTTTTGTATGATCTATGGCTGTCAGCCATACTTTACAGTTTACAATTTCGGTCAACGGTATATGACGAAGGAACGGAAGGAACATTTCTCATTAGTATTTTGGCATTCTTCATACCTATAGTGTATTTTACAAAAGTGCATTTGGGTATATTTAACAAGACTCTAAAGCATTCAGGTATAGTTTTAACTTTTATTTACACAATAGGTAGGTACGCTTTAATGCCGGGCTGCACGAACAATCACTAAACATTTATTGAATCAATAGTGTGCTAGACGCTATTTATACCTTAAATATGATTTAGTGGCCCATAATGATTGGTCCATTAAACTTTATTGATCCATAAATGTAATACATTTTTCGTGCAACCCGGCATTAAAATTCTAAATAGTAGACAACTAGGGTCAATAATTAAATGTCCTCTATAGAATAAAATATATTTACCCGTCCTTGGGTAGTGGGTAGGTACTAGGTATTGGCGTATAGCAGCGCCTTCAACGTATAACACTGCCGTGGCCTGTGAACTGTGTTAGTGATCTGATATCAAAATTTCGGCCCCATCCATTTTCCTCCGAAAACGAGATACCGTTTTCCTCTACTGTCCATTTTCCACCAATAAAATAAAAAAAAATTCTTGACCATTTTCCACCAATAAATAATAAATAAAATAATAAAATAGTTAGGAAATATAAATAATTTATGCATATCAAAAAAATATATTTTTTATTAGGCAGCTGATATAGATATAGATAGCCGATACCAGAAAACGAAAATGTCATCCTAGCAGGGCTTGCAATTGAAAAAAAATTCTGTTGTGTTCCGCAATTTTTGCGTTAATCGTTATTTAGAATTAAAACGTTATTCAACTTTTGCGTTTATCGTTATTTAGAATAGTGTTAATACCTACTTATAAAATTAAAAAATAATAACTAATTCGGGTAGGTTATGGCTCGGATACGAAATATAATATAATCAATTCTTAGATTGTCGCATGATATAAATGTTTCTACAAAACCAATAAACCTTTTAAATAAATAGATTTTAAAATATTTCGTTTTGCATTATTTTTTGTTTAATTATATAATATATTTCGTTAATCGTTATGTTTTGTTTTGCGGTGTTTAATTATTTTTGATTACTATCGCTTTCCGTTATAAATTATAATTACGTTTAAAAATTTCAATCGTTATTTGTCAAATATAACGTTATAACCAGGGCTCGGAAGTTCTAGCAAATGCATATTTTTATTGGTTCGTCCTAGAACATCCAAAGTAAGATACAAATATGTTTCACACTTCTCTGATGTCTTACACGAAATTTTATTTTGCTATTTTTTGCATATTTACGGTTTTTACTGCTATTTTGCTAATTTTAGGTTTTTAGTGCTATTTTTGGGTATATTTTCACATAAATACATATTATAGAAGGTATTTTGCTAATTTGGAGTTCGAATTCGTCGTATTTACGTAAGATACGGCGCTATCGCCGTACGTAAAGACCTATGATTTTATTTTAGTTGTCTGCGTTTTGCCGTCATTTGTGTGTTGTGCGTTTGATCGTGAACTATCGTATTTATCGTGTTTAAAAATGCCTAAAGTTAAACAAAATTTGTCAAATCGGCTCCAAACCTATGTTAATTTATATGGTCCTAAAATTTTTCAATTGATAAAAGTGTATTATTTTGTAAAATGTGTGAAGTCAAAGTTAATTCTGACAAAAAGTTTAACGTATCACAACATATAAAAAGTGACAAACATATCAAAGGCCTTGCCCGATATGAAAATCAAATAAATCGACAACAACAGCAGTTATTGACAGCGACAAGTAATATTAGTAAAAAATCGTCATTTAATAAAGATTTGTGTGAGGCTTTTATTTCTGCTAAAATTCCTTCAAACAAGTTAGAAAACCCAAAATTTAAAACATTTTTGGAAGGTTATACAAAAAATGATATTCCGAGTGAATCCAAGTTGAGAAAAGGATATGTGGATGATATTTACAATGAGACCATGGATAAAATTAGGAAAATAATTTCTGACAAAAAAATTTGGGTCAGTATCGACGAGACCACTGATTATGTACAGGGTCGTTACATTGCAAATGTAATAGTAGGCACTCTTGAGGAAAATAATGCAGGCAATATGTTTTTACTTAATTCGGAGGAACTAGAAAAAGCTAACCACTAAATGAAATTTTATTTTGCATATTTTCCAATTTTTAGTGCTATTTATAGCGCTTATATTAATGTTTCTATGTGCATATTTAAGCGCTAAAAATTAATTTTTTTAGTGCTATAACTTCCGAGC